CAAACCCAACTAAAATGGGACTTATAAGCCTTCGGCTGCCCCTCTACATGTTTTACAAGGCATGAACATGCCAACAGACACGGACAGATATAAGCATTACATCAAACATCCTGTTTCAAAGTTTGTCCGTGACAATATGTCACATGCTGAGGGAGAAGATTAAACATTGGCTTTCCTACCTACCACATCTGCTGCATAAGTCCTTTCTCACATGGTTTCCTGGAAAGAACTCTGAAGCTTGCATTTCTCTTCCTAATGTGCTACTCAAGATTCTCTTAAACACCTACCTACATCTCTCTCGAGTAAGTTGGTCTGTACATGCCAGGGAAACCCTTGGAGTCTCATCATGAAGGCATCCCATTCTTAATGCCATGAACAAAGGTTTAATCTCCATTGTTGTTGTTGTTGCATCTTCTTTGCTTTTGACTTTCAAAGGGTATTTAGAAAATGTAGCAAATGAGTCCTTTGGTCAACTTGCACTACTTGTCTTAAGTCAGCATCACCCTTTGACCTATATCTTACTTGGAAGACGAGCAAACTTCACACAGCTGGATTATGTTTAATATCTCAGCCAACAACTCATCAATGCCAAGCGTGACATTTACTCATTAGCTACATGCTGTTGATTCTTTTATTGTTTGGGTCAAATCTTAACTGCTTGTCTACAGTCATTTATTAAGAAAAAAAGATTTGTTTGAGCAAGTCATATGGTTTGTCTTTCAAGATTAAACCCCATAAACGGTAAGGTTTAAAGATCTTGAAACCTAGGAAGTGGCCCCCAGTTATATAATATATAGCAAATAAGGTCGCATATGATGACTTCCCCACATGACCCCATACCATAAGAATAATCCTTAGCAAATGCATGTCTTACTTTATACTTACTATCGAGATATTATCGATTAATCACTATTTAACATGTGTTCTTCACGTGACATCTTGGTTAAAAAAAAGAAGATAAAACCTGTCCATCCATTGATCTGTTTGTGTGGGCATTGGTCCAAGACATGCAATTATAAATTAATTCTGCACTTATTGTATAAAAAATCAAATCGAGGTTATTAGAAACAATTAAAGGTTGCCTCCTCAACAGAATATGTCGTTCCTTCACTAAGTATAAAAACTCACTTGTTGGATCATTTTTCTATCATTGACGATTACACTCATCCATCTCGGGTTATTGACTTAGACGTCTAAAGGATCTAAACTACGCTCGACTAACTTGAACATCAATAATATTTTTCACCTCGAAGGCATCTTAGATGACCTTACACACACGGGTCTAAACTACGTTCGACTGACTTGAACATCAATAATATTTTTCAATGACACTTATTTTGTGTGGAATCTATATAGATTAATATCCATTGATTTTTTTCTTCCATTTTACTGAGCATCTTGTAAAGATGACCATGCCACATGATCCCATAAGCATATTCCTCGCCAAATGCATTTGCCTGTGCACTAAACTTGGACCAGCTTCTACATAGATTTTGTTTTATATATATATATATATATATATATATATATATATATATATATATATATATATATATATATATAT